TGCCATCATTGCCATCACTGCCATCATTGCCATCATTGCCATCACTGCCATCACTATTATCATTGTCATCACTTGATAGTGGCTTATACTTAGAATCAACTGAATCTTTATCAGATGATTCAGACGAGCTGTTATTTGTAATTCAGCATGTTAAAATTATATAATTAAACAAGGTTATAAATCTAATTGTATATAGTTTTTACATAAATGAAACGTAAAATAAAATATGTTTGTATTAACAATAATTGTTATTTTTATAAGTATAATATTATATTATCCTAAGATAATAAGAATTAATTCACATACCTCATTTTAAATATCTTAATAAGTTAAATTAAATTTTATAATATTAATTGTTTAATATTTAAATAAGCACAATTATTTAATTAAATTTTACAATTTTACGACAAAATTTAATTTAGTTTAACAAATATAAAATATTTGGTAATTGTATACCAAATATTGAATTTCATAATGTAATACTAAATTGTGTTAAATACATGTTATATTATGTTAGCGAATATTTTATATGCTTTATTGAAAGACAATTGCTGTGTATAAAAAAATTTCTAAAATTAATATTTGATAAAGTATAATAATTTCATATGTTATTTATTTTAAAGTATTAACAAATTTTATGAAATTGGATCGGGCAGAGTAAGGCAGGATCGAGCAGGGTAGTTCAGGTAGTGCAAGTATTGCAGGTAGTGCAAATAGTGCAGGGTAGTGCAGGTAGTGCAGGGTAGTGCAGGGTAGTGCAGGGTAGTGCAGGGTAGTGCAGGGTAGTGCAGGTAGTGCAAGTAGTGCAAGTAGTGCAAGTAGTGCAGGTAGTGCAATTCATCCTCCACCTTTTTCTCAATGTTTATGTAATTTCAATGTTAACAATATCTGCGGTTAAAAACATCATGTTTGAATTAATTAAAAGTGTGTTAATTATATATACAACAACTATATTGTCGTACAATTGTATTGATTACTATCGTTTACAGCAATTACAAGACTATTGCGCTGTCAATGCAAATAATATTAATGACAATAATAGCAGTGATATTAATGGCAATGAATTATGTTTTAATGCAAATGTAAATCAAAAGTTGAATTTATGCGAAAAGCAATTTCTGATTAACACCCGGGATGTGATGAAACAATTTTACTCCGATTACCGAAATAACAGCATGTTTTGCGCCAGTATTGTGTGCACAGTATGGAGGGCCCAGGCCTGCGATCTCCTGTCCGTACTGTCCAGTGGTCAGGGATGTGATGGCTATTCAACGCAACACATAATTAAACAAAAGTATAATAATTTTTTGGATAGATTGTACGCTCACTATTGTATCGAGTGTTATGATGTAAATAATGATTACATTAATGATTGTTTTGGTAATTATAAAACTATTACCGATTAGTTATGTTACACAACTTAGTTATGTTTGTTGCTATAATTTTTATTGTTTTACTATTTGTAGACTATTTTATATGTAATGTTTAATTAATGTAATTTTTAACTATATTTTTTTTGTAAATTTATTTATTTATTTTATTTAAATGTATTGTGAATTGTATTTTTAATGTTAATATTAATGTGTAAAATATATCTAATAAATAAACATTTTAATTTAATGTTTAAAAAATTTTTAATTAAATTATTTAATTATTGTAATTATTTATATACTTTATTCACAATTTATAATACATAGCTTAAAGGTTAATGTATTTTGCATTGAATTGTTTAACAAATTAAGTACAAATTGTGTTTAATAGGAATATCCGGGATAAATCAAATTCAAAATAATAGGTACAATAAACTCTACAGAGAAAAAACACACACACAAACATTATACTAGCATGATAATTTGCTAAACATTTAAAAAATATCACTAACTTCATTCAGAATTTTTTTAATTGCAATTGAGAGAGGGTGGGTTTTTGGAAAAAAATAATACAAGCTCAATTGCATTTTTTACAATGAACGAGCTAGCTGACTTGCTCAACACAATGACCTGTGTTTCAAGTGCTATTCCGGGCCGAACTGACCACTCACATGCACCTATACAACGACTACGTGGCGCCAATGTTCCCGCACTGGAAAGTCCCGTTCCCGGACGGGTCGGGCAGTCTCGACAGCACCGCCGGCGAAGTTCCCAACTCTTATAAACGGTTTCAAACATTTATGGGTATTGTACGCGAGTTTGGCGATTATCTGCGACCCGTCAACAAACAACTCATGCCCGCGAACCCACTCAACCTGAAGGACAGGCAGCGTCTGGAGGGTAAGGTGGCTGTGGTTACCGGCGCTGATGAGGCCATCGGCAGGGATACGGCCATCGAGTTGAGTAAACTTGGTTTTAAGGTATGGATGGAGTGGTGTTGTGATTACTGATGGTGTTGTGGTATTTATGCTGTGTTTTTCAATTAAGGTAATTATGGGCGTGACTGACGTGGAGGCCATGGAGAGAGTGCTGAAGATTATCAGACAGACCAATGAGAACGGTGTGGCCAACATTACCCCGATTAGTCTGGACATGTCATCGCTGGCCTCTGTCCGCCTGTTTGCCGATGTGGTCACTAAACAGGAGCCAAAGATTGATCTGTTGGTCAACAGCGGCGACGAGTTTTCCGACAAAAAGTATATCACCAAGGATGGTTTTGAGAGAAATTTTGTTGAGAATTACCTTAGTAAGTTTTGTAAACAATTATCTAATAGTTTTATTATTATTATTTTTTGTTCATGGTGTTTGTAATTAATATGTGTTGCGTTTGCTGTTATTTTAGGCCACTTTTTAGTGACCAGGTTGTTGATTAGCAATCTAGCTAAGTCCACGAGTCCCCGTATTATTAACGTGTCGTCAGTGGCCCACCACTTTGGCTCGATTAATATAAACGATGTGAACTATGAGAAAGGTTTCTACCTGCCCCTAACCGCGTACAACCAGAGCAAATTGGCCCTGGTGCTCTTTACCCGAGAGCTGGCCAAACGTGTGAAAGAGACTGACATTCATATGTATGCCGTAAATCCGGGTGTTTTGCGAAACCGTAAACGCATTTCCAATCGCTATATATTTCGCGACGTTTTGCACAAAATGTCGGTCAATAATATCGGCGTTCAGGGAGTGCTATACGTGGCCCTCTTGGACAAGTTCAAAAATGAGTCTGGTCATTATTAAAGGTATGAAATGAGCTTGGTTGTATGTATTTGTAATATTATTTATAAAATTAAAACAGTTTTTATATTTGTAATATTATTTATGAAGTTAAAACAGTTTTTATATTTATAATATTATTTATAAAGTCAAAACAGTTTTTATATTTGTAATATTATTTATAAAGTTAAAACAGTTTTTATATTTGTAATATTATTTATAAAGTTATTGTAGAAACCCAGTTTCTACTACAGGTTCTTACCAAGGTGCTATCGCTATGATGATGGTTAGTTATATACTAGTCGGAGTCGGGCCTATGGCCCGGCCCATTGATTACAATGTTTGTTTTACTCAAATATAGTTTTATTATTAATTCTCAATACAATCATAAATGTGCAGGGTGACAGTATGTCCCCTGGATAGAATAGACAGAGTTTTACATGAATTTTACATCAGTTTATATACTTTTTGATTATACAATAATAATGCAATAGTTATTTAACATTAAGCAATATTCCAAGAATAATGTGATAAAAAAGGAAATGAAATATAAAGTTTCATAGTGAGATAACTCACATGATTTAAATGTAATAACAATTGAATGATTTATAACAATTAGTTTATATAAATAAAAACGGCATTCTACAATTATTTAAATGTTATAAACAGAGACATACAGACTGTACAGTATGTTTAATAAATACTAAAACTGATCATGGTAAATATCTAAATGTAATAAACAAGTGCACAATGTCTGCACTGAATGTTTGGCCAACACTAAAACTGACCATGGTAAATATTTAAATGTAATAAACAGGTGCACAATGTCTGCACTGCAGGTTTGGCCAACACTAAAACTGAACATGGTAAATATTTAAATGTAATAAACAGGTGCACAATGTCTGCACTGAATGTTTGGCCAAAACTAAAACTGACCATGGTAAATATTTAAATGTAATAAACAGTTGCACAATTACTGCACTGAATGTTTGGCCAACACTAAAACTGACTACAGCGCTGAGTAGCACAGGGTCCTTTTGTGATTGTGAATTGTGTTTGTGTGTGAGAACTGTATGTGCAATATATTGATTGAATTAAGCGCACAAATAAAATACATGTCTACAATAATAAAAAGTATCAAAAATACGTATGCACACTCACGAACAATAATATGTTCACATAGGGTGTACATAAAGTATGTGTTTAACATTTGAACTGTTTGCATACATCAATATATTTCATAAACGCCTTTATTGCATTATGCCTCTCATATATACAGTGTGTATATACATATAATGTGTATATAATATAATACATAGAAATTTTATACAGTATTATAAATAACAAACAGTTTTAACTTTGTAAACAATATTAAAACTCAGTGTTTACCCAAATTAATATTATTATTGAATAAGTAATTATATAAATAAATAAATACTAAATGTATACTGAAAATAAAATTAATTTTATTGAACAAAATAATTAGATGCAATACATATTAATGGAATTGCATATTCATTTGATGGCCAATAAGGAGATTGTTATACAAAATGATAAAAATATTTACGATTTGAATTGACATTTAATGAGAAGATCTCCTCTAATGAATGTATGCTTTTGGTCGGGAAGTCCTAAACCGACTTTTCTTATGAATAGCACACACTTCTCGGAAAACTCAATGGTCTGACGCCTATTAAGCACCACATCCATTGTCTCGCCGGTCAACAGCGGAACAGTTAAGGGTAGGCCAACGATGGCTTCATTAAGACTCATTTGGGCGGTGTATACGATATCATTGCCTTCGCGGCGGAACTGATGGTTGGGTTGCTCTTTGACCACAAGCGCAATATCATCGGCGTCGGAACCGTACGGATGGTTCCCATAACCGGCAAAAACTATACGAGTGCCCGATTTTGTGCCCCGCTTTACGTCCAACGACAATATTTCTGTCTCTTTGCGGAACTCTTGGGGCGAAGACCACACCATTCGGGTCACTTTTACGCGCTTAGTACAGCCCCGGAGCACATCTCGGAGCGACACATACACCGTATGTTCGGTCGACTTATTCGGCGCCGGTTTCTCAGCGGAGTTAGTCTTTGGCGTAGATTTATGTCTTCTCCTGCTATCAGTCGATGTATTTGTCTGCGGTTTAGGTGTTTTGGGATATCTTTGAGGGAATGTTTGTTTGGGATATGAGTTGCGGTCATAAGCGCTACGTTTACCGCAATCTCCGAGCACTTGATAGGCCTCCAGAATGTGCTTAAACAAATCGGTGGCCTTTTTGTTGCCATTTTTGTCCGGATGGTAACGAAGGGCCAGTCGTCTGAACGCCTTCTTGATGTCCAACTGACTCACAGTCCTCAACACTCCTAATATATTGTAGTAATTCTTTGCCACCACTTCCAATAGTTCACTCATTTTACATAAATAAAGTAATAATGTTTTTCTAATACAAAAATAAAATAGACTGTGTTCTATGACAATTTTAAAAAGACTGATATAAATTGACTGAAATCAATTTATGCAAGTTATTTATGCAAACTATGCGCATAGCATTTTTGGGCACTAGTTCGCTATTCGTTCGGTTTTGTCTTGGTTGATCAAGGTTATTATTTAAATGCAATTAACAGGCACATAATGTTAGTACAGTAAGTTTAGTAAAACTAAAACTGACCATGATTATTATTATTTAATTGTAATAAACAGTTTTAAAAACATAAAAATATTTTAACCTTGTAAATATTATTACAAATATAAAAAAACTATTTAACGTTTGTAGTTTTAAAAATATAAAACTATTTTAACCTTGGAACTACAGTCTGCACCACATTTAACAGAATCGCTCGGTGAGTTTATTTTTATTCTGTTATAGCCGGTTTTCTGTTATTTCCGGTAATAGACTTATTAACATTTTGTTAAAAAGGCGCTTATTTTAACATACTTTACAATTATAGTGCTGTATTTATGTGTATAAACATGTTCAAAGTACTATGCTATTGTTAAAACACTAATTTTAAAAATACTACAAAATATTTTATCAATACGGCTATTAATCATACGAAGATAAATAGTTTTCAACATAACAATGTTTATGAATGACCTTTTCCTTTATATGTGGACCTGTTTAACATTTCACGGCATCGGTTTACTGTCTGCTATATGCGGTATTTTGTTATAACCGATTCTGCTATTAATGGTATACTTATCGTTATGCACACATAGGAGCTGCCGGTGCAGCAAAATATTCGGATATAGACAGTTTTACGTTATGTGGGGCCGATAAATGCGGTGCAGACTGTATTATTATAAATATAAAAACTGTTTTAACTTTATAAATAATATTACAAATATAAAAACTGTTTTAACTTTATAAATAATATTACAAATATAAAAACTGTTTTAACTTTATAAATAATATTACAAATATAAAAAACTGTTTTAACTTTATAAATAATATTACAAATATAAAAACTGTTTTAACTTTATAAATAATATTACAAATATAAAAACTGTTTTAACTTTATAAAGTTAAAACAGTTTTTATATTTGTAATATTATTTATAAAG